CCTCCATCCATCCATCCATCCATCCATCCATCCATCCATCATGATGATCCTCATCCATCCCTCCATCCATCCATCCATCCATCCATCCATCCATCCATCATGATGATCCTCATCCATCTATCCATCCATCCATCCATCCATCCATCCATCCATCCATCATGATGATCCTCATCCATCTATCCATCCATCCATCCATCCATCCATCCATCCATCCCATCATCACCATCATCATCCATTCATCCATCCATCATCACCACCATCATCCATCCCATCATCATCATCCATCCATCATCACCATCATCATCCATCCATCCATCCATCCATCCATAAACTGTTCATCCATTCATCCATCCATCAACCATTCATCCATCAATCCATCCATATCATCACCATCCGTCCGTCCGTCCGTCCATCCATCCATCCATCCATCCATCCATCCATCCATCCATCATGATGATCCTCATCCATCCATCCATCCATCCATCCATCCATCCATCCATCCATCCATCCATCTCTGCTTATAGTAAACATACCGATTGTTGCAGAACTCCAGAATTAACCCTGGTGCACAACGAACATCACAAAATGGCATTAATATGATGTGACTCATGCACCATTTACCACATTGTACCATCTGTGCCTGTAGATTTCAGAATGGAAGAGGACTCTGAGGGAGAGAGAGGAGGAACTGGTTGAGGCCCGCCAGAAGATCTCAGACTTCAATCTCCAGATCCACTCCAACACCTGTGAGATCAGCTCCCTCAAAGCCACCGTATGTAGACACACGTGTTCAGTCTACTCTGTCCGGACAGAGCTTATAGTGACGTCATCCCTTCTCCTCCATCAAAATCTAAGATTGAAGCCCTGAAGAACCAGATAAAGAGAATGGTGGAATGCCACAAGCTTGAGATTGAAGGCTTGCAGAGGAAAATAACCGATCTCAATGAACACATCAGCAGTAAGGAGAATGAGATGGGCTTTTACGTGCAGAAGTACCAGGGTCTGCACAGTGCCAAAGTAGCAATGAATTTGGAAATTGCTGCCTACAAACATCTGCTGGAATTCGAGGAGGGCAGGTAATGATTAAAACAATAAAACACACAAAAAATACAATTAAGTTTCACTGTTCTCCCTTGTTTGGACTCTTTTAGGATTAATGAGTTTGAGCCAAGCATCATCCTGTGCAACAAAGGTAACCGACCTGCTAAACCCCTGAAACCCCTGACTGATTGTTAGAGTCCATCATTAGTTTGCTGTTGCACCCGCTGCTCGTTTGTTTTGTCATGAATGTTTGAGGCGGAAAAGCCACCACCAGTTTACAATGCTGTGGTGGGACATTAAGGAATCAATGTAGACACATATATCTGCAAACCTGCATGAAATGAAGCAAGACTGAAATGAAAAACTGATCCATGATGATGTAAAAGGCTAGAATACATAACAAAAGCCAACCTGAACGCTACAGCCTGCCAGCTTCACTCTCACTCTTATAAAAACATCTTAGTACACCTCTGACTGGGAAACCATTTCATACTGTGTAATGGGGGGGTACGTCCATTAGGTCAGTATCTGAGTGATGACACCGTCAGCTTCTATTATTTTCCATTGACAGATTAGGATGATTTGAAGGTAAAACACTTTAAAACACGACAGTGACTCTGATGTTCTCTGATTAAACAGGAGAAACCTGGAATATCGACCTTGAGGTAAGAGGAGATAAGTGAAGCTCAAGCAGCTCATGTTTTATTATCCATCAGACATGGTGAGAGCGCCATCTGGTGACGACTTTATGTTTCTTGCCATCTTAAAAAGGCTTTCAGACAGGAAATAAGCACTAAGATCACAGAAGAAACTTGGTAACGATCACATAATGAGATTAATAGGATTCAGTGTTTTTATTGAACAATATTTTTAATTGTTGACTTGATAACTTTCTGCAGGATTTACCAACATGAGGATAGAAGCTTTGAGCAAACCTACCAAGGTAAGAGATCTCCTGCTGTTCCCTGGATTTATTGCCACACATTCAGCCTAAATGGTTAAACATGTTAAAGATAATCATAAAAATGTATCGTTCTCCAAAGAGAAGGATTTCAATCATCTTTGTTTTTGTTACATGACAACCAATCAGGAAAGAAGAAGAGAGAAAATTAAAAGCTTCGATAAAATAATTAGAGATAGATTTATTTATTTTTATTTGTCATTTTGTTTACACAAGCGTAAAACAAAAAGAAATTCAGTTTGGAAACAGCTCACTGGACAATTTAATCTTTTTAAAATTAATTAAATTAATTAATCCATTCATTATTTAATGCCCTGATTTACTGAGATCCTCAGTGATGAATGTTACATTTATTGTGCAAACACAAAGAAAACATCTCAGCTTATATTTGTCTGATAGCAGTGATATGATCACGATAACCTGAAACAGCAGAAATGTTGTTTAGATTGTAGAATTGCATGTTAATTCCAAAGCACTATTTAAACCCATAAAGAAAAATTTAAAAATAGCCCATTTGGGGTAATATAGACTTCAAACCAGGAAAGTCGGATGCAGGTTTTTAAAACTTGGGATAAGGAGATAAAATCTATTAAAGTTTTGTATTCTTCAAACAAATGTAGGTCTTTTCAGGAACTAGTAAATACATTTTAATATACCTAAAAAGCACTTCTTTAAATATTTACAAATAGAGACAGAGAGAAGTTTAATGTCGCACATATACAGAATTATAGAATCAGAATTAAAAGAATCATCAATGAATAAATTAGAAACCTGGAGGAAAGACTGAAAAGAAGATCTATGTGAAAGTGATTGGACAGAGGACAGAGGAAGCGCAGATTTAAATTAATGCAATATAAATGGTTGATGCAGACTTACATAACTCCAGCTACTCTACATAAGTAGGTATAATGAAAATATTCCTGATAACTGCACAAAATGCATAGTAGATTAAATGTATTAATCTACTATTGTCAGTAAAAATTTTTGTTTTGCTCTTATATCCTCCTGAAATGCCTTTGAGAAGAAAGGAATGTATTTTACTTGACATGTGTTTGCTATAAGCTACAAGCTAAGCGTCTTATAGCTCTGTTTTGGAAAAAAGTCCAAGCACCACATGTAAATGACTGCCTGAAAGAAATGGCAACTAATTTAACAAATTGGAGGAGATATGGTAGCCATTCTTATCCTCTCTGAAGGAGGGTGGAGGTAATGGGATGTAAAATGTAAGCAATACTTATACCAAGTGCGAAGCTTTCATTTTTATTATTAATAATTTTGTTCTTTCTGTTATATAGTTGTAATTTTAATTTTGTATATGTTTAGATTGTTTTTATATACTGTGCTATCAGTATGTGTTTATAAGAATGTTAAAATTCAATAAAGAAAATAATATTTGGGGGGAAAAAATAGGAAAGTAAAGAGACTGAACTAATTTTTTTTTTCTGATTGTGTTGAACCAGAGATCGGCTCTGCAGAGGAAGATAAGAGCGGAGATGAAGCAGCAGTTAAAAGCATATCACAGGTAAAATATGCTGCATTAACACTGGATGTATTACAGCACTGTGCATGAAAAGATAAACATAACATCTATAGTTTTATCATCTAAACTGAGCTTTATGTATTAAAAAAAACTGCAGGAGGCCCCATCTATTGTTCATCTAATAAAGGAAATAGACTCTGCATGCTATACCTCAGCATTACACAAGTAAATCTATTCATTAGAGAGATTTGATTGCTTTTATTTATTTCATTTTCATGATTAGGCAATGATTATACCATCAAGGGGAAATCAACTGATTTGCAGTTGTTTAAAGGTAATAGCTACAGGTGGATTCATGCTGACCTGCTCCCCTCCCATTCTGTCTGCTAATAGATAAGCAGGTCTGCTGATGCTAATGCAAACTACACATTTGGAGCTACTGGTTCAAAGGAAACCGGAGGCCTCAGCTTTGCTTCTAAGGCTTTCTGCTTCTTTAAATCTGTACCAGCTGCATCTAACAATTATTTAGCAGATCGTTAAATCTGTAAAATAATTTTTCAATTATTCAATTAATAATCAGACGGCTAAAGGTTCTTTACAAAACATTTTATTATGAAATTAAAGCAGGTGAAACCAAAACGTTTCCACTAGAGGAGTGACAGACCTTATTTTTTTTTTTTTATCTTAAATGCAAAACGTTTATATATTTTTTAACCATTTTAATGTGCTCTAAGGGGTTTTTTTCTGGCAGTGAAAGACATTTTTTAGGTAAATCACAGTCAGTCTCATGCTGCAAATCTCTATAACTGCTAATTTAGTGCCAAAATGTATGATTTATGGCTCAATTGATGAAATTTTACTTCCGTTTTCATATTAATTAGGAATTCATGTAGAAAAATCTGTATTTTTTGTGGAGCTTGCTGCAAAAGCAAGAGAAAATTCTTCACTTCTTTATATTTCTATAAAAGCAGAATACTAATTATTGTTTGTTTCCTTCATCATCAGGTGGATTAGAAGTGACAGCTTCCCACAGAGAGGGAGAAGGGGATGAAATGAGACACCAACCAGATTATAATATAAAATGTATAAGATAATGATGATCAAATATTTATTACAGCTTGTTATGATTTTTTTCTGATATATGTATTTATCTTTTATTTTGTGATTTGTTTCTTTGCCTGCTGTTTCCTGTTGAATGAGTAGAACAGGCTTGAAGTTCAAATATATTTATAGTTTATGAATCTTAATGCAAATATTCATATAAGCTAGTTTATGAATCGTACTGCAACATTGTAGCATTATATGAGCTCTTTGTTATATTAAACCACCAGATTAGTAATAACAACCAATTTCATGTATTTACCATCAATAAAACAATCTTATCGAATGAGAAATATGTTTTTCTTCATTATTAAACAATCCAGTGTGACTCATTTATACTGCAGGCCAAGAGTCTGAGATGCTTCTCCTCACATTAAGCACATAAATATATCATAATGAAAATCTAAAATACTATCTAATTATCTAATGCTGATCTAACAGTATAATGACACAAAAACACAGAAACAGCCAATAATGACTCAGAGGAAAATACTGGACTATTCTGGAGTGACCTCTGTCATAGGAAAAGAATATTTAACTATTCATCCTAGTTAAATAAACTGAGATTTATGGATTTCAATCAGTCGGCACATTTATTCATATCTTTGCAAAGAGAGAACAGTCATCATGGCACAGCATTCTGCTCTGTTCTGATCTGGGCAGGGTTCGTCCCTCCCTACTTACAACAATGGAAAGTATTCAGAGTCAAAACAAATTACACACACTTTGCTTAACAGTAACATGTTATGAATAAACCTTGAGAAAGAATCTGGATTGTTATGGGAAGAAGCTATGTCTGGTCTACAAACACTATCCTGCAGGGAATAGTGTGGCCTTGAGAGAGAAACAGACTGAGTGAAAACTGTTATAGTGAGTAAATAGGATAAATTAATATATAATAGAAGACAGATAACATATTTCCCCGACAACCCCTCCAAGAGGCCTGACCTAAATCCTATATTGAGCATCTTTGAAAGAGGCTAAAACATCCTGTTTGTAAAAAGCCTCCTTCATCAACTAGAGCAGTTTGATCATGATTGGAACAAAATACCTACTGGAAGGTCAGAAGCATTGCTTCTTCTTCTGGAGACTGTTTGCATAGCTCTTATCATGATGATTGCTGATGCACTTTTACTGTGGCTCGAGGGCTTTGGCTACTTTTTGCTGTATTCGGATCAGGAGCAGTAAAGGAGAAACACTGAAGAAATAAAAGAGAGAAAATCTTATTTTAGCATGCAATAAAGCAATAAAGAAAACAGTAAATAATTGAGAGAAACTTAATAAAAATACAGAAGTTAAAAGATCTGGAAAGATCATGCAACGGGTGTGACGCGGTCTTCATTCAGCCATTCTGTTACTTCCATATTCACTAAAAAGTTTAAAATATTTACTTAAAATTTGTGATGATGAATGCCAGAATAGGTTGGAAACAGGCTTTAAGTAAGCAAAAGATGGCTGACAGAGTGACACCTGTCTTTGAGCAGGCTGGCTGATGAGAATCATGTGAAGGCAAGGTGAGCACAGGCACCTGGGAAGGCTGGCAATGCTCACAGCCACTGGAACGAAGAACCAGGGAGGGGAGGGTGAACTCAGGACCACATAAAGCTGGTGGTGCACACAGTAACTGGAATGAACCTCTTGCGTGAAAGGCAGAGACAATCTGGCGGAGACTGACAGAGAGAGGCAGGTAATCGGCATGATGGGAAGCTGGGAGGAATGAGGCTAATTAGGGGAGAGGCAAGTCCAGCTATTTACTGTAATTAGCAGAGTGGAATTGGACCGAGTGATAATTAACAGGCAGGTTGCATAACAACTTGTTAACCCTTAGAAAGTGTTGGTAGGAAAAATCTATCTCCTATTAATTCCCTTTCAAATAAATTTATTTATTTGTGCTGCATATCATTCATTCTGGCCTTAGAGCTGCAAGGCCGCAAAGTGTCTAAGGTAAAGTTGTTTTTTATCTTGTTGGGGACTGTTTGGGATGAGAAGAATTCTTCTCATGACAAACTAGGCTCTTTCTCAGGGATTATTTCACAACATTATGTGTTATCTTGTTTCTTTTTACTTTGCAAAGTAAAATAGAGTAGCGACTGAGTGAGACCCATCAATCTCTGTTTATTTAACTGGGGTGAATAGTTGAAAACCTTTTCCCCACAAGAATATGCAACAAAACAGATGACATTTACCTGATAAGAAATATTTCAGATTCTGATGTTTATGATTTAATCTACAGTGTTGAATGTGGCCTTATCTTTACAGGTAACTTGATGAAAGAAGTGTAGGGCTGTCAGCTGCTTTGAGGAGCGCTAAACCTGATGGCTAAAACTAACACAGTGTTGCTTTAAGGTGTCACAACAGTAACTAAATTTTAAAGTTTACCTGTTTATTTCGCAAAGAACTTGTTTAATATCTTAAATGCTGTGTTATTTTCCCGAAAATGAACCTCAAGACATGAACAGCAATACAATCTCTGTCTAGCTCTGAAGGAACTATTCAATGTGATGTAATGGAAGTCTGAAATTTAGCTTGAGATCCATCCATTGGCTCTAACCTAAAAGTTTGCTTTCAGTCTATAATGAAACGTGAAGCTAGTAATAAATCTTTAGGGATTTCATCGTCCCATGACATTATATAATCATTTCCTCTAAGATACTGAGTTTATTTAGTTTACCACACAGAACAGGAACTTAATTCGCTGTTGCAGTTAAAATTTAAAAAGTATTTAGTTTCATAAACACTCCTCTTGTTTCAGATAAATGGTTCTATTTTTCGAAAAGTGTAGCATCTATTTTCACTTTCAGCATGACAGTGATAGGAGAGGCTTAACGTCACACAGAAAACAATACAAATGATGTTAAATTAAACTAAACCATCAAGACAGACATGTCAGTCCCTGATTGATTGAGGTTTTCTAGTTATTTGGGCTTTTTTACATTTAAACTTTTCCTAAAAACACCTGAAATAACTATTGGAGAAAGTACATCTGTTGACACAAAGTTACCTCTTTGTTTCCTGGAATCAGCAAACTGTTCTCTCTCTTTTGATCACAATCTAACAAGCTTTTACAGGAGGAACCTCATTTTTATCAGTCCAGCTAAACTTGAATTTCCTTGTTGAAACAAGGAACTAACTAAAGTTTTTCTAAAAGGGTTTTGCCCCAGGGAACGAAAGTCAGAATGTCAGGGTTTGGTTGAGGTTTTGAGGAGCCAAATGCAGAGGCTGTGACACAGGTGAGTTCTTATAGTTTTAATGGAGTTCTCAACAGGTAAC